TCTAAGGACCCCTCCAGCTCTAATGACCCGTGTGTCTAAGAAAGCCAACACCCAGAGAGACGGCTGAGAGGTATCTGAGAGAAAGGCACGCTAAACAGGAGGTACTGAGTACAGAGGAATGGCAGGCGGTGTACCTGGCCTGGAAACCAGTGGGGGAAAGAAAAAATAGAAGACAAGGCCTAACACTGTGTGTGCGCACATCGAGGAAGAGGCAGCATGGGTATACCTGCGAAGTTTTGTGTTCTGTAAGGAAGGAAGTGGGAAACACTTTAATTCTTCCAGGAAGGAAGTGAACTCTTTTGGTGGCCATTTCAACAGACTTACTCTAACTGAGGGAAGACGAGTGCACATGGATAGTGATAGCTGAAAGGGAGGAATCCAGCCACCAGGTTATGGAATAATATATGCAGAAGGTAGCCACCACTTGGGCCAGGCTGTTATTTTGGATACGAATTCAAGTAGAATTGCTGATAGATCAGATATGAAACATAAAGGGCTCAGTGACAAAGCAAGATTCTTCTATCTGAAGAACTGGAGGGATGGAGGTGTAATTTGAAGTGATGCAAGATTGCACAAGGAAATGTGAGGTGTGGAGGCATACAGCAGCAGTCTAGTCTGAGACTTATGTGCGACATGCCTGTAGACATAACCCAAGAAATGCTAGATGAATGGTTTATGCCCATAGTGGAGACATCTAGGGCAGAATAAGAAATCTGGAGTTAATGTATAGACAGTACTTAAAACCACAGGACTGGATGAATCAACGGAGGACTGAATGCATATTTTGGAAAGTAATTCAAAGATGAACCCAGGGTCCCTCCACTATAGAGAGGTCAGCAGTGTGATCAGGCACCAGCAGAGAAACAACTCTGAACTGCCAGTGAGGATAATCAAGAACAGATTGGGCCTGGGGAGGTCAGTTGCATAGTTTCTATAGTTAGGCTGGGGATTAGGAGCCTGAGAAGTGACTGTATCAGGTAGAAGTCATTGCTAGCCTTGCCCAGAGTGTGTGCTCAATGGATGAGTAAATGAAGAGCTTTTCCTCCAGCTCCCACAGGTTCAGGGAGTTCATCTCTCCCAGAAAAGTCATGTGTTTGACAAAGAAATGCAGGATTCTGTTTCATTTCGTGCCTTTTCTCTCTTCAAGTTTTAGGGAGTGGGAAAAAAGTCAGGAAGTCCCCTGTTTCTGACAGCTAGGCAGTCAGGAGTTAGCTATGACCACCTGTTCCTTCATGTTTCACAGATTCATACAATACTTCAAGCCTTTCCGGGCAAATGAATCATCAGTTCTTAAAACAACAACAACAACAACAACAACAAAAAAAAAAAAACCGCCATGACCTCGAAATTTGAGAAAAACATCTGCAAACTGACTTCTATGAAGGTAGTTTATTCTGGCTGCTGTGAGAAAGCACCCTTCCTTCCTTCCTTCCTTCCTTCCTTCCTTCCTTCCTCCCTCCCTCCCTCCCTCCCTCCCCCTCCTCTCTCCCTCCCCCCTCTCTCTTTCTTTCTTTTTTTCTTTCTTATGGCGGTAGTATTGGGGATGAAATCCAGGGGCCCGAGTATACTAGGCAAGCTCTTTAAAGCTCTTTACCCCTGAGCTACACCCCCAGACCAATAAACCATGTTCTTGAGATTATTAACTAATAGCATAGTTCACTAAAACCATTTCTTGGAAATTTTGGTGATTCAGACTCGGTTCCTATACAATGCCAGTGAATCTTGAAAGTGGCTAGAGGCCCCCAAGTGGTTCTCTGAAGAGAGGTGGATTTCTCACTGAAGACAATTACCAAACAGCAGCTCTCTTCTGTGCCAGGTACACCAGGTACTCACAAACACTTCATTGGCATTTACCAAACTGAATCCTCACAGCCACCATACAAGAAAGGGGCCATTATCATACCCAAATAGCAGATGCAATTGTGACCATTACAGGTGAGTAACTGGATGTCGGGAAAGGCTGAAGGGACATCAGAGATGAGTTGGGTATCTCTCTTCGGGAGTGGTCTGGTCCCTTTCAGAACAGGGCTCTGTTAAGTATGCTTAGCACTGTCCAAACTGGGGTGGTTTGGGTCAGGGAAGGGGTGCTGTAAATGACTGTGCTGAGACACCAGCATACATCAGGAAAGGTGACAGACACCCCAGGGTGTGGGCTTCCTTGAGCAAAGATGTATGGTCCCATGTTCCATCCCAGACTCAGATAATCAACCCTCCAGAGAAGGGACTTGGACCCTCCCAGAGGACTCTCTTTGTTGCGAAGTAGTTCCTGGAGTCATAATTGCCTACTTTAGAATCATGCAGGGTCATGCATGTATGTACACGCACGCACACACACATACACACAATGTAAAAAGGATATTAAAATATTGACTTGTGGCTTTACTTTGCTGGTTTTGTTTGTTTGTTTGTTTTATTTTGTTTCCAAAAGAGTTTCTCTGTGTAGCCCTATCTGTCCTGGAACTCACTATGTAGACCAGGCTGGCCTCGAACTCAGAGATCTGCCTGCCTCTGCCTCCTGAATGCTGGGATTAAAAGTGTGGGCCACCACCGCCTGGGCACTTTGCCCTGTTAATTGATGTGAGGGGTGTTTAGGTTAGAATAGACTCTGCTGGTTTTAGAAGTCAGTTTTCTGCAGGGTGGGCCCTGGAGTCACACCTGAAGCTGTGGTACAGGAGGTGTAGCAGATACTCCTGAGAGAAAGGAAGAAGGAAGACATTTTTATTCTATACAATATCAGAACCACTGTTTTTTTTCCTTAGGTGAGTCTTTAAACGAGACAAAATTTTAATCCCATTTCATAAAGAGGAGTCAAAACATGAAGTGAACTATTTATCCAAGGTCACAGAGGTGGGAATGGGAAGAGGAGCCAGACTCTACCCAAGGGCTACACACATGAAGCTGAGTTCCATTCACACTCCCTAAAGACCTTTCTTGAGACACAGACATCAGAGACTCATCAGAGACAGTCCATTAAAGAGAATTGTCTCATCCCTTGGGCTCCTTTCTCTGGTCACCCCCTGTCCCATGTGTTAGGAATGTTTTACCTGTCCATTTCTGTCATCCAGAGAGGAAGCATTCTATTTTCATGGCCTGTTCTGGGCTATTCGCTTTTCTTCCTATTTCTACATTTGTGTGAACCGCTCTGCAGGGGCAGAAGCAACAGGCAGAAGACTACCCATCCACTGAGTATGTTGAGAAAGCCTGACCCGGCCCTTCATCAGATAGCAACTCCATTCTACACTCTTAGAAGACTATGGTGGTAATGGATTGGTTTATGGCTGTGCAGATATTAACTGTCATTAATGACTGCCTCACTCAAGGCTCCTGAGAGGATATGTGAAATCAGTCTGATCCTCCACTCTGGCGTGGAACCCCTCTGCAACATGCCAGGTGGGTGTCCTCAAACAAGGACAAATGGCTAACTCTGGCCTTTCTGCTAACGGTGTGGTAATCTCAGAGAGCTGCAGTCCAGGACTGCAGCCGGCTCTTTCTACATTGAAATCACCCTAACCCTCCTCTGCGCCTTATCAGATCCTCTTCTGCATCTGAATCCTTCCAGTATCTTCTCTGTTATTGAACCGCAGTTTAAATGAAAAACCAGTAAGCTTTGATGTATTCTAACTTTTATTTTCCATTTGTTATTGAGATAGGGTTTCCCCTAAGCCCAGTTGGCCTTCAAGCCTTTATGCTCCTGCCTCCATCTCCGGAGTGCTGAGAGTATAGGTGTGTGCCACCACACCTAGCTTTTGTTCTACTATTTAAAGAGTAAGTTGAAAGCAGAGCATCACTAACACGACAGAGGTGCCTACCTCCAATACCTCTCCCATCCTTGTGTGTGTCCTTGTGGTGGGGATCAACCCTGGTCCTTGGACATGCTAAGCATGAGCTCTGCTGTTGAGCTACATCCTCAAACCCATATTTATATATTTCTTCAGATTGTGGGATCACAGTGAGGAAGAGACCCTGTTGGAATCAGGTATCGAGAACCATCTGTGAAAAACATGGCAGTCATCGACTTGAGCCTGAATGTAAAGAACAGTTTACAAACGGTGCTTATGAACTGTATAACTTGAGGCAACAAACTTTCTAAGATCCGTTTCCCGTTCTGTAAAATGGGAAGATAGATGGAGTGGGCATCTAGGGTGCTGTGGGCATTAGACAAGCTAGCATTACGGAACCACTGGCATTTAGTGCTCAAGTGCAGGTTGCATCCACATTCCATGCTCTAGCTCACGCATCCAGGATTGCTCAAGGACACTGGTCAACAGGTGAGCTGAAAACCCGGTTCTAGAGCGCTGAGTCCTGCCTACCCCTTTGGAGGATGTCCACGGCAGTCTGCCTTGTCCCTGCTCAGCCGAAAACTCACTGTCAGCTGCGCTGGTGGCACGGGCTGTCAATGAGGAGGTTGAGGCAGGAGAATAGCCACAAGTTCCAGGTCAGGTGGGTGAGGGAGAGGGGGAGGGCTTTTGCAAAAAGCTGAACCAAGACAAGAATCAACAAAACAACCAACAACTAACAAAACCCCTTTGCATTTCGGGTCCCGCACTGCCCATTACACCACAAAGCCCTCCACACCAATTACTAAAGACAAAAGCAGGGCACTTAGACTTTCTAACATTCACAAGGGGTGAGCGAGGATGACCTCACCGTTTCTCTGAAGTAATTAAAGGTTAAAGGTAGCTTTGGACATCGCCCAGGCTCTAAGAACCCTGGGTCCCAACCTTCCTGTCATTTGCATTCCAATGTAGCCACCTCACCGGTTCAGCCCCACCCGCAGGCGACTCTGGCAGCCAAGTGGACGCGGGCCAGCACAGCGGAGCAGCGGGCAGGCGCTGCGGGGCCAGGTGGCTCGGGGTGGGGCTTGCGTAAAACGCTGGGAGGGGGCGTGGCCTCCTGGGGGCGTGGCCTCCCGCAGGTGCGTCCAGTGGCTCGGGTTTCACTGAAACGAATCCCGGCCAGGGAAAGCACAGCGCTCCTCGGGTTAAGGCAAAGGGACCCGGTCCTCCGAGTGGGGCTCTGAGTTTCGAACCAGTGGTGGCGGATTCCCCGTCCGCCCGACGTCCGGGCTGCTGTGAGGATGCGAGGTCTGAGCGTGGCGGGGCTCCTGGGAGGCGTCATCCTGCTGGCGACCTCGGTCTCCTGCAACCGGACCTCCCAAGGTGAGAACCCTGCCCAGGGAGGGCTCGAGCGGCTGAGGAACGCTCCCGGTTCGTGGTGGAAGCGGGGCAGGCGCGCACTTCCCCACGCATCCCTAGACTCTCTCTCAGTGGCTTTGGGGGCGAGGGGGGGTGGGTGTCCCTGACCAATCAGCTGGGACACCCGGGAAGTTCCCCCCAAGGACGTGCTAGAGATAATCATGGTCTGGGCACTTCCAATTTCTACCTGTCGGTGTGGTTCGGGGAGGCCAGGAAGGAGCGCCCACGTCTTTGGGGTGCCTTGAAGACTCAGGCTCCCTTCCCTAGGGTCGTTTCTTTGCCAACACTGAGTCATTAAAGAGCTTTTCACGCATCCTGTGATCTACCTCCGGTCTGGTCCTACTGGGTTACAGCCAGTTGATGGCACAAGGCCAGGTGGAGTGAGCGGTGAGCCCGCGCCCTGGAAAGTTCCCACCTCGCGTTTTGCACTCGCGCCCACCCATTGAACCCTTTCTTTAGGGGTCGCACCACCGCGTTCAAGACCCACCCGTGGCCGCTGTTCCTGGCAATGGATGCGTCGGGTGTGGAACTCAGAAGGTTTGGCTGTCACGTGGTGGTAGAAGGGGAACTTTCAGGACCCCCATATTCGGCCAGGTGACGTTCTGGCCTACAGATTTCCAGACCTTCCCGCCACCCGGAGCACACACTGGCGGCCACCCAGGTCTAGCGCTGAGGCTGCCCTGGGAACAGAACTGTAAGAGAGCGGTCCGGGGCGGTGCTTCCGTGCCACTCTGCGCCCGGCCGCCGGGTTGGGCGGGTGCTGCTGCTCCAGGTGAGCTCGAACTGACGCCTCTAGAAGCCAGGGAGGCCACTGTAGTCTGTGGGGTGGGGTGGGTAGGGTAGGTGTGTTTACAGCCGGCGGGAGGGCTACTGTGATGCAAAACCAGACCTGGCGTTTTCATTTCCCCAGCTCAACTTGCTGGTGTCCTGTAAAAGGTCATCTCTCGCTTTTAACCCTCTTGGAAAGACGTTGAAGAGCGTCTAGCCCCTCTCCATTTGACTGTCATTTAAAGTTAGAAATTTAAAATTCAGGGACAAGAGGTTAGTGTGTGCAATTTTTTTTTTTTAAAGTGGTTGGAACCGATTAAATACTTTTATGATTCACACAGAATAGGAAACATATCCTGATTATTTGGCTCCCTTTGTTTAAGTGAGGAGGTTGGGAAGGGAGAGGTTCCTGGCGTATACTGTGAACTTGATTTAACAATAAAAAAAAAAAAATCAGGTTACTTGTTAACCCGAGCTGCTTAATATCCCACCTTGGTTTTTCTCTATGCATACTTACGCTCCATAGCTGGTAACTTTCCTAAAGAGTCTAGTAACAGAGACTTTACATACAGGGAGTTTTTCTCCCAATTAAAATTAATTTTGGTTACGGACACGGGTCACCTTGAAAGCGTTTCCTGCAAGTTAATGGACGTCTTTGCTCATGCCGCTCTGGTCCGGTCTTTCTGTGTGCTCTTTTATTTGTTAAAGAGCAGATTGGATGCGATTTTCTCCACCTCCAAAAGATTGCTTCTCGACCTAAAATAACCCCATTTTTGCAGGTGGGGGGGGGGAGAGGGGGCACTGAATTGACAATGTCGCTTTTAAGTCAACTTCTCTCCAATACAGTCACTATCACTACCTCCTCCCCCTCTTCCATCTCCACATTTATTTTTTGATTTCTTGTCATGCTGGGCTTTGCACTAACTAGGGCCTGAGACACTTCCCATGAGGCCGTCAGTCCATTTCAGTTTTACTGACTGGTTCTTTTCTGTTTGTTGGGTTTTGTTTTTGTTGTTGTTTGTGGGGTTTTGTTTTGTACCCCTTTCTTCTTTCTCTTTCTTTGAGATAGGCTTACTGTGTATCATTGGCTGGCCTGGAATTCTCTGTGTTGATCACATTGACCTTGAACTTGCAACAATTCTCCTGCCTCTGCCTCCTGAGTAATGAGATTACATGCACCACAACATCCAGACAACATTTTTTTTAGTTTAGTTTTTTTTTTTTTTTTAAAAATTATGTGCATTGGTGATTGGTGTTTTTCATGTCTTTGTGAGGGTGTGGGATGTACTGGAACTGAAGTTACAGAAAGTTGTGAACTGCCGGTGAGTGCTGGGAATTGAACCCGGGTCCTCTGGAAGAGCAGCCAGTGTTCTTAATTGCTGAGCCATCTCTCCAGCTTCTGACAACATTCTTTTTTTTTTTTTTTTTCAATTATAAGAGGAATATGTGGTCACTGTAGAGGAAAACTAGAAAGAGGAGAAATTTAACAAAAACCATCCTAAACATGGGTACTTAAAATAACCACTACCAACATTTTGATTTATATCTTTCCCATGCTTTTGTACATGTGAAATACATAAAATACACATTCCCCAAACATAGAAAGTCTTGTACAAGTATGGGGTTTTATTATGTCCAGGTTAGTAACACCTTTTTGAATGGCTTTAAAACATGGGCATATGCACACCCCCACCCACCCACCAACCCTCATTTATTAAGTACTAAACCTAGGGCCTCCTGTGTATTATTTAGCAAACCAGTTTGCCACTGAGGTAGAACCGCAGCCCTAATTTTACAATTTATTTTGAGGCAAAGTCTCCTTAAAGTGCCCAAACTCTCCCTGAATCCACTAGGTAACCCAGGTAGGCCTCGAACTGTGGATTCTACTTCCTCATCCTGAGTAGCTGCGATTATAGACCAGCACGGGCAAGCCTGGCTGCATCTTTCTAAATCTGTGTTTTGTGAACAGACCCATGGGATGTCTCCCAAGCCTTGTCCTAGAGAGAACTGTGAGATGAAGGCGGAGCTGGGACTTTGGGTCCGTCTCCTTTGCTTTCCTGTGTTACTAATTAACCTTGGAAGCTCATGTCTCTCGAGGTCTATATTTAACTTTCTTATGGTTTTATTATCTGGGCAAATGTTGAGGAAAACAGTGCATCCTGTGGTGCAGGGGGAACAGTTTGCAAAGTTTACTAAAAGAGTACCTAGGGAGGGATACTCTGCAACTAAATCTTTTCCTTTTCAGCCTGTGCACCCAAGAGTTGGTAGCAAAAGAACTCCGGGGTGAGGAGCTTGGGAAAGGGCCAAAGCATCGCCACCATGTCCACTGCGAGCTGAAGTCCTTTAGGCAACAGAAGGACCATCCCGCAGCAACTGTCCTGTGGTTTATTTGTGTTTCGATAATAAATCTATTTGTGGTCAGAAGACAGACTTCTGTCCATTCTTTATAGCTCTCATAAAGCATTCACCTAGTCCCCTTTTGATACCCAGATGATCATTTTTGTTAGACCATGGTAAACGATAGTTCGGCAAATGTTCTCCACAGCAGTCAGTGTGAGACAGGTCACACACTGAAGTAAATCACAGCTCACAAGACAAGCACATTTTAACTTTTGATACATTTGCCAAATTACTTTCGAAAAGATTGCATCAGGCCGGGCGGTGGTGGCACACGCCTTTAATCCCAGCACTTAGGAGGCAGAGGCAGGAGGATCTTTGTAAGTTCGAGGCCAGCCTGGTCTACAGAGCGAGATCCAGGAAAGGTGCAAATCTACACAGAGAAACCCTGTCTTGAAAAATCAATTTAAGAAAAAAAAAAAAAAATTGTATCAGTTTGCATTCCGTGCAGCAGAAAACCTAAAACAGGAAGGTGAAAGTGCCTTCCCCAGCCATTCCACTTCAAGGAGACAGACATTTTTTATAGCGTGGTGAGTTTCCGAGATTTAAGATTTTGCGAATAAATATGCATTAGAATCTTATTATGCAGATGAGAACGTATTATTTTTATCAGTTTTTTTTGTTTGTTTGTTTGTTTTCAGTTGACAGTGTATTAACTGTAGGGAGGTGAGTGTCTCCTCTTAGGGCTAGGGATATGGTGAATTAGGAACGAGCTGATTACAGGCCTGTTTCCTGCTTGTCCATCTTGGGGGCCGGGTGTTGCCTTGAGCGGTGGTGGGTGTATGTTTTTGTAGGCTTGGCAGGAACTGTTGATTGTAGCCCTAGAAATAAGTCTGCCCTCAGAGCCAGGCACACAGTAGGTGGCCACACTTCCTGTTCATTGACAGTCTCTGCTCAGTTCTGAAACACCCAGCCTGGTTGACAGCTAGACTCTGGGATACCAGTGTAGAATGCAGAATGGGCAGAGCCCATGCTTCAGGGACCTTTGAACAGTGTCACAGAATGGCTTGATGTGAACAGCTGTTATGTTTTGTTGTTGTTGTTGTTGTTGTTGTTGTTGCTATAAGATCTTGCTGTGTAGCCCAGACCTGCCTGGAACTCATGATCTCCTGTCTCAGACTTTTTGGTGCTGAGTTGGAAGGTGTGACTCCCAGCCCTCTTTGTATGTGTGGCGGGGGTGGGGGGATGGGGGACGAGGATGGGGGGGGGAGGGGACTGGGGGACGGGACAGGGGGCGGGGGGACGGGGACAACGCCTGGAAATCAAGCCTTGTCCATGCTAGGCGAACACTTCACCACTGGGGTGCATCCCCAGCCCTTAGCATGGCATTTCTAGGTTGGATTTTGGGATAATCTAAGAATGCTCTGCCTTCTCCTCCTCCTATGACGTTTTCTTCCTCGTCTCTTTTTTTTTTTTTTCCTAGATAGTATTTACTTTTAGCCTAAGCCGTATTTCTTTTATTATAATATCTTTCCTTGTTCCTCTTTTCTCTATTTTAGCATTCTTATTTAATGTGGTTTTGGGTCTCTTTTTACATGAACTTCACTGCCTTATTTATTACACATTTGGTTCCATGAGACTGTTTAACCCTTAGGCAGTAGGCCCTCAGTAGTGAACCCACTCAGTGCCAGCAATTGCTAATCCTGGCTAGATGTGTTTCATTTCTGCCCTTGCCGTTTTCCAGTCTGTCTCTCTGTGCTACTTCTAATAACTTTACTAGGTTCTCTATGCCAGATGATTTGCATGATACACAATTAGCCTGTCTAAAGAGAGTTCAGTGGCTTTTGGTATACTCACAGAATTGTGACGGTCACTGCAACTATTTTGAGCACATTTGATTACTGGCAAGAAGCAGCTTGCCAAGCGCTGGGACAAGAAGCATGCATTACCATGTCTGGCTTCAGTACCTCATCTTTCTATTCGTTGTTAAATACCATTCCATTGTGTGGACAGCTCTCATTTTGTTTATCAGTTTTTGTGTTGATGGACATTTGGGTTGTTTCTATTTAGGGCTACCATGAATAAGCTGCTTTGAGTGTCCAGCACAAGTTTTTGTGTGGACATGTTTTCCTTTTTCTTGGGTATTGTCCTGGTTGATCTTCTTTGTTGGCTTGGCCAGATTAGAATCACCACAGAAACACACCTCTGGGTGTGTCTATGAGGGTGTTTTCAGAACAGTACAGTTGAGGAGGGAAGATCTGGAGCCCCAGCCTGAATAAACAGGAGGAGTTCGCTGGAGAGATGGCTCAGGGGTTAAGAGCACAGCCTGTTCTTCAAAAGGTCCTGAGTTTAATTCCCAGCAACCACATGGTGGCTCACAGCCATCTGTAATGAGATCTGGTGTCCTCTTGCATACATGAGGGCAGAACACTGTATAATAAATAAATAAATAAATAAATAAATAAATAAATAAATAAATAAACAAACAAACAAACAAACAAACAGAAAATAAGAACAAACAGGAGAAGCAAGCAGAGCGCAGCGTTTACCTCTTCTGCTCCTTTCCTGTAGATGAAATGTGATGATCTGCCTCACATTCCTGTTGTGGGCCAAAATAAACACCTCCTCCTCCCTTAGTTAAATGCTGTCAATTCTAGCAACAAGAAAACTACGACTTGTGAGGACATAGCCAGAGTTGGTCACCTGCAGCCTGGAAGAGGGCCCTCACCAGAACCTAACCATGCTGGGAGTCCCATTGCTGATTGCCAGACACAACAGTGAGGAATACATGGGTTGGGTATAAGTCTCTCTGTCTCTGTCTCTGTCTCTGTCTCTCTCTGTGTGAACATGCTATGGTACATGGGGAGATCAGCAGACAACTTGTGGGACTTGTTCCTCTCCATCATGTGCGTTCTGGGGTTGGGAGTCAAGTTGGCAGGCGTGGCACCAAGCGCCTTTACTCACTCAGCCATCTTGCCTCCCCTAGTTGCTCATTCCTTATCTCTTGGGTTACATCTGCCCAGGCGTACTCTGACCCTGATGAGGTCAGCATCCATCCACTCCAGCAAGATTTCTTCAGAGTGTCTAATCATCTCTTGTGACCCTCGTAGCGATTAACAGGCAATGTCTAGGCGCAGAGCCCCTCCCTTTTAGGGAACATTATGTAACTTCCTCCGGGAACTGGAGAAAATTTGAGAACTCTAAAGTCTCAACCACTGCCCACAGGAACTCGAAAGTCTCAGCCACTGCCCACAGAAGCAGCTCCGGGTAACTCACTGGTGCTTTGAAGGGGAACGTCCCCCATAGGCTCAGATATCTGAAAAGCCGATCCCCAGTTGGTGGCGCTGTTTGGGGAGGTGTGTGAGGTATGGTGTTGCTGGAGGAGGCCTGTCCCTTGGGGCAGGCTTTGTGATTAAAAGTCTCCTCGGCTTTCAGTGCTCCCTCCCTGCTTCCTGCTTGTGTTTGAAGATGTGAGCTCTGAGCTTCCTGTTCCTGCCGCCATGCCCGTAGCTTGCGGCCATGCCTCCCCACCGTGATGCTTTCGTATCCCTAAATACATTTTTCCTTCTATAAGTTGCCTTGGTCATGGTGTTTTATCACAGCAACAAAAAAGTAACTATTATGCCCACTGAATCAGCGCCCGGTGGGCTGTTTCTGGCCTGGATGCCTTCATGGATGAGTGGGGTCCCCAGAGCTACTCATGGGGTCCAGCGGTGCTATGCACCACCCTCTGGACAGCTGTGGAAGATTCTTTTACACCTCTGAATGGCTTGCAGAACATGTTGACATTAATACAGGTGACTGTGAATTAGTGAAGGAGGAGCTCGTTTTAAAGAAGGTGACTTTTAATATGGTAAATTAAAAATTTTAGATATTCTGTTTGAGAAAATATGTGTGTGTGTGGAGTCCATGTAGTTGATCTCTATGGGTTCCAACATGTAGTATCAGTTAGGGGGTGGTGGGGCATAGTGAGCAAAACTATGTCTTCTAGTAATGAGCCAACTAAGGCTAACGTGTAATCTCCCTACGTAACTGCTCAATTCTGGGACGTTTACTCAGCTTACTGATTTGTGCCTTAGTGTCTGTCTATTGATAAAATGAGGACGTAATAGTCTGGTTTGTTGTGAATGTGATACAGTTCCGTGTGTACAGTGCATACAGCAATACCAGACCCACCATGAGTTAGTGCTCACCTGTATGATGGCCACCATGTTCCTGGAATTCTTTGTGGTTGTATGTGTGGCCTTTGGGCACTCACTGTTCCAGTCCAAGGTCCTGTAGAGACAGGTAGAGGAGCCGTGGCTCTGAAGTGGAGAGGTCTGGAATGAACGTAGTTGAGGGAGAGACCCTGTCCATACCATCTCCAGCTTCTGGGTGGGCGCTGCCGCTTTCGATGTTCCTTGGCTTGTTCCATGACTTTCTTCCGGTCTTTGCTTCTGTTTCTCTCCTGAACTTCTTCCTGACTTTTTTTATTTTTTATTTTTTGAAACAGGGTTTCTCTGTAACAGACCTGGCTCTCCTGGAACTCGCTTTGTAGACCAGGCTGGTCTTGAAGTCACAGATATCCGCCTGCCTCTGCCTCCTGAGGGCTGAGATTAAAGACACCTCCCAGCCTCTCTCTCTCTCTTTTTTTTTTTTTTTAAGTTTTTTATTTTATGTGTATTGGTATTTTGACTGTGTGTATGTCTGTGTGAGGGTGTTGAGTCCCCTGGAACCGGAGCCACAGACAGTTGTGAGTTGCCATGTAGGTGTTGGGAACTGAACCCGAGTCCTCTAGAAGAGCAGCCCGGTGCTCTCAACCTCTGAGCCATCTCTTCAGCCCCATCCTTCTTAAAAGACCGTTGTCATTGGATCAAGGGCCTGACTGGATAATCCAGGATGATGTTCTGAAGATTGTTCACTAGGGCGGCAAAGCTCCTTGTCTACGGGGCATTAGGACATGAACTTCCTTTAGGGCACAGGGCACCTTCACTTTTCCACAGTAAGTGAAAATGAACTGTGGGTCTCTGTAACTTGCAATGCTCCTCCACTCCCCTTCACTGATAGTCCTACCTACAGAAACCTTCCCAAGTGAGCAGTCCTGGAGAACCTGAGCCTGGAGCTGGCCGAGCATCAGTCGGTAGCTGAGCACACAGGAAATTAGGAGAAGTCAGGAGAGGTCTGCTATCTTCCTCGGCCCATGAACAGTGCACAGGTGTTTCCTCATGGTAGGGGCCTCAGGTTCCTCATTAAAGTTCTTTAGTGCCTTCGCCTCCTCCTTCAGGTCCACGAGGGCATGCAGGTTGGGGCAAGATGAAGGATGGATATGCCAGCCATTGTTGGCGGGTGTGCTTCTGTTTCGCTTTGCTTTCGATGAGATCTCACTCTGCCACCCAGGCTGGTCTCAAATTCCTAAGCTAAAACAATCCATCCACTTAAGGTTTTTAAGTATCTACGACTACAGGCATGTGCTCCCACACCCAGGTTTATCTGTGGTTCTGAATGATCAAGTCATAATATGGGGGAAGCACCTTGAGTTAAGCTTGCTGCTACATGCAGTACAGCTAGAACACACTTGTATCATCGGTACAGTGATACTAAAAGACTTGTCTGCCAACTGAGCTCCGTGGGAGGGTGTTTATATAAAGGCAGCATAGAGGTGGGAAATACCTACCCATTATAGTAGTGTATTTTTTGTGGGTGGACAAGGGGATGCCCCCATGGTCCTGGAATCTCCCTAGGCTGGTCTCTGGGATAGGGCGTGGCTGACAGCCAAGCTGGATTCTGGCCTAAGGCCAGAGTAGGGTAGATGGACACTATAAAATGAGAACAGAGGCAGCTGGCTGTAATTGGAGTTTTCCTATCCCAATCACCCAGTCCCAAATAGTCACTCAGAGGCTTTTATTAATTGTAAATGATTGGCCGATAGCTCAGGCTTATTACTATCTAGCTCTTGCAACTTAACCCATTCTTATTAATTCATGTGCTGCCCCGAGGCTAGTGGCTTTTGCCTCTATCCCATTTTGTGTGTCCAACTCATTCGCTGTCTTGCTGGCAACTCTCTGAATCCGTCCTTCCTCCGAGAATTCTCCTAGTCTGTCTCTGGTGCTCGAGTTCATCCTGCCCAGCTATCTACCAATCAGCTTCTTATTAGCAAATGAGAGTAATAAATATTCATAGTGTAGAAAAGGATTGTTCCATGGCAGCTGGCAGCAAGGCAGGGCTTCTGTCTTACACATTAGAACAGTGGCTCTCAACCTGTGGGTCCTGACCCCTTCAGGGGTTGAACGACTTTCACAGGGATCACATATCAGATGTTTACATTATGATTCCTAACAGCAGCAAAATTACTGTTATGAAGTAGCAATGAAAATTTTATGATTGGGAGTCACCACAATATGAAGAACTGTATTAAAGGGTCACAGCATTGGGAAGGTTCAGAACCACTGAAAGAGTTACCACATAATTGTAGACTGATTTTTTTTTTTTTTAAACTAACTGACCCATCAAAGACTGCTGATGGATGTGTGGTTAAATAACAGAACTAATGAGTGTAGCTATTTTTAAAGAATAAATTGAAAAACTGTCAGCCTTAAGATTCCCAGAAGTCAGTGTTGTACATGCAACCCCAAACTCCCACAGTTTGAAAAAAAAAGTCTCATCTCTGGGCCTGAAGATATAGCTTAGTGAGTGGTAGAATACTTGCCTAGCATGCATAAGAATTAGATTTCAACTGCTGGCAACCTGCCCTGCCCAGTACCATCACTCAAAGAAAATAGTATTCGCAATCCTCTAATAGCGTCTGTGTGTGTTCGTCTGAAATTGTCATTTAAGCAAAGCAGCCTTATTGTTGGACCATTTGCCTAGGTAACGAATCTGTTCTGCCTTCTTTGTACAGGAACCCATGGTAAAGGAAGAAGTCTCATTGGCCGAGTGGCCACTCCCCCTCCGGTCTCTGGGAAAGGGGTTACAGTAGAACTGGGCTTCTCCATTGATGAGTTCTCTACATCTGTCCTCACCGGGAAGATGACCACTGTCTTTCTTCCGGTCATCTACACTATTGTATTTGTGATTGGTTTGCCCAGCAATGGCATGGCCCTCTGGGTCTTCCTTTTCCGGACGAAGAAAAAGCACCCTGCTGTGATTTACATGGCCAATCTGGCCTTGGCAGACCTCCTCTCCGTCATCTGGTTCCCCCTGAAGATTGCCTACCACCTCCATGGCAACAACTGGATGTATGGGGATGCGCTTTGCAAGGTGCTTATCGGCTTTTTCTATGGCAACATGTACTGCTCCATCCTCTTCATGACCTGCCTCAGTGTGCAGAGGTACTGGGTGATCGTGAACCCCATGGGACACCCCAGGAAGAAAGCAAACATTGCCATTGGTGTCTCCCTGGCGATCTGGGTCCTGATTTTCCTGGTCACCATCCCCTTGTATGTCATGAAGCAGACCATCTACATTCCAGCCTTGAACATCACCACCTGTCACGATGTGCTGCCGGAGGAGGTGCTGGTGGGGGACATGTTCAATTACTTCCTCTCCCTGGCCATCGGAGTCTTTCTGTTCCCAGCCTTACTTACCGCATCTGCCTACGTGCTCATGATCAAAACGCTCCGTTCCTCCGCCATGGATGAGCACTCCGAGAAGAAAAGGCGAAGGGCGATCAGACTCATTGTCACCGTCCTGGCCATGTACTTCATCTGCTTTACTCCCAGCAACCTTCTGCTGGTTGTGCATTATTTCCTCATTAAAAGCCGGGGCCAGAGCCACGTCTATGCCCTCTACCTGGTCGCCCTCTGCCTGTCGACCCTCAACAGCTGCATCGACCCCTTTGTCTATTACTTTGTTTCCCAAGATTTCAGGGATCACGCCAAAAACGCGCTCCTCTGTCGAAGCGTCCGCACCGTGAAGCGCATGCAAGTATCCCTCACCTCCAACAAGTTCTCCAGGAAATCCAGCTCTTACTCTTCAAGCTCAACCAGTGTTAAAACTTCCTACTGAGTGGTACCTGGGGATGTCAAGCCTGCTAGATTGTGTGTGCGAGGGGTGGGGATGCAAAGACATGGGGCTGTCATTTTCTAACCAAGCTGGTCTCAGCACTGATCACAAGCATGGACGTCAGTATCAGTATTCTGCTCTGATGTCCCCGAGACTGAACGAACTGAGAGACACATATTTTGTGGAAGTGATGAGAGAAGAAGGCAGAAATCCAGTGCTTGCAAAAGCTACACCTGGCAAGAAGACTAAGTTTCTAGCTGAAATGATTTCTTCTGCATCTGGGGTTCCATCACAGCTTTGTCAGGACCTGAGGCCCTCGTAAGCTTCAGTCTAGTTGATTGACTTTTCGGGTGAGATGAGGAGACCAGCTGTGAATGAAGTTCCTGTCCGGAATTCTAACCTGCAACAGTGAGCTTGCATTGGACAGTAGAATCCAAATGCCCAGTGGTTACATTCTTGCACCATTTCCTCAGAACCCCTGGGGATCTTGTTCAGTGTGCAGGCCCCTCAGCTTCAATAACCAGAGCTCTGCTAACGAGGCAGCCGCTCTACAAACCTCAGTGATGTCTACATGCACAGAACCATGGATCGGAACACTGCTGCCACCCACCAGGACAGTAATGTTTGAAAAGAAAAGCCAATAGCAATGTTTTGGGCCTCTTTATGGTCGTTTATTATGAAATTTGCCTATTGGTTTATTGGAATTTTCGGTTCCTTTATTACTCCTTTGTAGTTTTGTATATCTGTTAGTCAAGAAAAAGAGAATGAGGATCTTAAACCTGTAAATATAAATTTTGTATAATTTTTTTTTTACTTATATCAGTGTGGATAATGGAGTATTTTGCCAACTGCAAATAACATTTACCACTTAGTGGCTTTTTTTTAAGTTACTTTTTTAAACTGTAGTGTGCAAACTTAAGACATTTTCATGATAATGGATCGTTATAGTGTCAGTTCCCCTATACTCCATCATATTCCCTCCCCCACACCCCCCTCTCCCTCCTGTCCGCCCCCTCCCCTGGTACTCCCCCCCCCTCCCCCACCAAATAGCCCCCTGTCTGCTTTCAGGTACCGTTTAGTATTTTTTAAAAACTGTTGTTGGAATATTTATTGTCGGTTTTGTTCACCTGTTATGGAATTAAAGTCTGCACATCTGTTTGGAAAAGAGCACCGACCAGACGCTACAGCTGTTGCAGAGATTCACGACTCCAGACCTACGTTACAGACTGACTGGACTTGTGGCTTTAAGAACTCCTATGGTGTGTGACTGGCTTATAAACAATACATGGACTCTTTTTAAAAAAAAAAACAACTTCCTCCAACTTGTGTGTTTATTTGCCTGAAGGAAGGAGAAGAAGGGAAAACCCTGCCTCACACACACAGAAATATCTTTTCTTTTTACAGTTGTTTTTGTTCTTTTGAGACAGGATTTCTCTGTGCAGCCCTGGCTGTCCTAGAATTCACTCTGTAGACCAGGCCACCTGCCTCTGCCTCCTAAGTGCTGGGATTAAAGGCCACCACTGCCCACTTTTTTTTTAACACAACCCTGGGATCTAAACCTGGTCTCACTATTTTCTTAAATAAACATAAAAAGTATAGTTCTTGTTGCTCTGCAGTGCCTACTTTTCATTAATTAATATATTTTATTTTTTTCTTATAATAATTTTATAATAATCTAAAAAATAATTGTTTTTCTATAACTTGACCTCCAATTTTAAAGATTATAGACCCTTTAATAGTCCATATATATGTGAGTGAGTGAGTGTGTGTGTGTGTGTGTGTGTGTGTGTGTGTGTGTAGTCATTTCCCTACTGGGTGGCCCCTTGAATTATACTATCCCATGTTATTTTTTTTTTCTTTTTGGCTATTTCAACATTATTGCATTGTACATCTGTGTATAGACGTCACTGAGATTCACTTTACTTTTATTGAGGCAAGGTTTCTTTATATAGCCATGGAACTTGCTATGTAACCAGGTTGGCCCCTTAAACTCACAGATCTGCTTAAAGCAACCTCTACCCACCAAGTGCTGAGATCAAAGGTGTGCACTAGGAAGTTTCAGTTCTTTTGCCCTTGAGGGGTAGCTTGGAAGCCCCTGGTTGGAAGCCTGTGGTCTTGAGTTAGACCCTTGGTTGGAGTTAGAAGGTGCCATGCCTCGAGCACCTTGGATGTGGCCATCTCTGCTTTTGTGGGCAGCTCTGTACCATCCGATTTGTATGAAGGATCTGAGTCGGAACTGAGAATGAACATTTTGTACTCCCTGGTTCATTTACTAAGAGGGGCCCTTCATCTGGACGCGAATGTGGACTTGTCTTGCTGTTAGGGCCAGAATGCAAAGGTGACATGACTGAAGTGCTTTTCCTGGGCATTTCTTTGTGTTATTTTCGTTACATGTAGCAGGAGTTTCAAAGTTGTACTTAATTTCCTGGTTATCAAGATTTCATAAGCCCTGGGGTTATAGCCTCATCTGCATGCATACTTCAGTGATTACAACTTTATATTGGAAACTTTAACCCTTTGGGAGGCTCTGGAAAGGACTAGAATATATTAGAGTCAAGGGTAGTTCCTATTAGCCCTCAAGTTTGCTGGGGAGCTTGGTTGTCCTTTAGAAGTGAAGGTCTAGCCGGGCAGTGGTGGCGCACGCCTTTAATCCCAGCACTCAGGAGGCAGAGGCAGGCAGATCTCTGTGAGTTTGAGGCCTGCCTGGTCTACAAAGAGAGTTCCTTAACGGCTAGGGCTACACAGAGAAACCCTGCCTCAAAAAAAAAAAAAAAAAGAAAGAAAGAAGTTCTAGAGTCTATCCGAGTAGAAGACAGGTATCCAGTGCTCCCCTGAATCCCAGGTCTAAAGGGGGGAAAAATCCCTAGAGGTTGGGACTCAAGACCCTCCATGTTACCCAAGCCTTGAGACTTCCCAGAGATGGCCGTTACCGTTACATATTTCTTTATGAAGTGGGGTCACTGGGTGCACACTTAAGAAATGCTATTAAATGAGGGAAGTGGGAAGGCTTCTGTGGTTTGGGTCTGAGCTACTCATGTCTCTCCCTGTTGGCAAATCTGGATTATTTCCAGGTCTGTTTTTTTTTTTTTTTTTTTTACTGGAAAGAGTTTAGCCCTGTCCAGAGGTGTGGGACACCTTCTGCAAACACCACAGACAGAGCCTGCGGGCTCCCCCAGAGCTGCGGACAAATCACCCAGCTCAAATGAGTGGTTCATTTGTCCCACAAACATGACAGCATCACCACATTATTAACTGCAGAAGATTAAGTCAGGACTCCTACCTGAGCATCAGCTTAGTTATGAGATTGATATTCTCAGCCAGTACATGAATATTAAAAAGAAGGGCTAGAGAGATAACTCGAGGGTTAGAAGTGTAAGGTGCTTAATTACTTTTGGTGAGGACTAGTTTTTTGTTTTTTGTTTTTTGTTTTTTCTCTGTGTAACATTCCTGGCTGTCCTGGAACTTGCTTTGTAGACCAGGCTGGCCTAGAACTCACTGAGATCAGATCTGCCTGCCTCTGCCTCCCAAGTGCTGATACTAAAAGCATGCACCACCACCGCCCACCTGAGGACCAGGTTTTAGTTCCCAACACCAACACTGGGTGACTCAAAACCACTGGGAAGTCCAGTTCCTGGGGATCTAAAGCCCTCATTTGTGTTTGCACACACACACAGTACACATAAAATTCGTTCAGACACAAGCATGCACATAATTTAAAAAAACAAAAAACAAAGAAACCCAGCTCTCTGGATTTAGTCTGCTCAAACGTCTTTAAAACATTCCACTCCAGAGCTGGGCTTTGAGAATGGTGGAAAAATCAAGAAAACAAAAAAAGAGCCCGGCATGATGGCATGCATCTTTGATCCCAGCACTCAGAGGCAGGTGGATGTCTGAATTCCAGGCCAACCTGGTCTACATCCAGGACAGCCGGGACTACATAGTGAGACCCTGTCTCAAACAACAACAACAACAAAAGAAAAAAAAAGATAAGTGGAGGCTGGAGAGATGCGGAGGACCTTGTCAGGTTCCCAGCACCTACATCAGGTGGCCCCCAACTCCATATAAGTCCAAGGTGGCCCAGTGTTCTCTTCAGGCCCCCGTGGGACTGAGAAATATGGTGCACACTCAGACAAGCAGGCACACACATCCATATACAACAAACAAACAAGCAAACAAACAGGGCTCGGGAGGGGTGCCCTGTGGGTAATTCTTCAAAATTTCTCATGGCTTGCCTCTTTTGCTTGGTTGTGGCTTTATTGTTTTTTCTTTTGAAACAGGGTCTCCATATAGTTCTGGCCTGCCTAGAATTCTTTACATAAGCCCGACTGGGCTAATATTCACAGAAATCCACCTGCTTCTGCCTCCCAAGTGTCAGTATTAAACTATTTACACCACTTACTTTTATTTTGCTTTATTTTGTTTTAACTTTATGATAGGGTCTCACGCTGTGGCTCAGGCTGCCTTGAAACCCATATAGCCCAAGCTGGTCTTGAACTCATGGCAGTCCTCCTGTTTCAGCCTCCCAAATTCTGGGCTCACAGGAGTGAGCCATCATGTCTGGTTTATGCTTATTATCCTTGTCTCGAGACACCCCCACCCCGACAGGGTTTCTCTGTGTAGCTTTGTGCCTTACCTGGATCTCACTCTGTAGACCAGGCTGGCCTCGAACTCACAGAGATCTGCCTGCCTCTGCCTCCCGAGTGCTGGGATTAAAGGTGTGCGCCACCACTGCCCAGCAGAAGGTTCTCTGCCGTTCTTCTGTGAAGGATAGGGAGATGGTTGCAGCACTCTAGCTGGCCCCTGAGAGTCCAGGTTAGCCTGGGACCCTGGCCAGTTTGCCTTCAGACCAGGGCTTAATGCTCAGCATTAGGTCAAGTCTCTCACTCAGCTTTCCCTTGTAGCCTGGGGCGAGTGACTTAGACTGTGAAAAGTTTAACTGTAGCTTCTATGAGGCTTTAGGCAGACTAACTAATTAGCTAACCCTGGAAAAGCAGCTTTAGCCCGTCTTGTGCTTGGAACTCTTTCAGAAGTCACCTGGGAACCTGAAGGGGACTTTGTCTATTTCCTACTGTTGTGGGGTATCCACCAGAGAAGTTTCCTCGGACATGGGTTCAAGCCTATAGAAAGTCTTTATTAGCTGGCTGATGCCTATACTGGGTGTTCGGGATCCCAGTGAAGCCCCAAAACTTTCTCAGGATGAGCTTCTAAGCACAAAATCCATATCTTGGGTTGACATACTTCAGTTAACAAGAACAGTTAGCCAGAAACAGAACTACAGAAGCTAAAAAGCAAAGTCAGTACATTTAGAGACATTCCCAGAACTACAGACTTTGATGGATTAGGTCTTTGCTTTCATTTTTGGCAGGTGGTGCTGTGTATGTGCTGAGTTTTACAGCCTGAATGACATTTCCATCACAGAGTCAGTTGCGTTCAGGTCTGGGACCCTGTTACATTCTCCACTTGGCTTAGTGAATGAGTCAAATGGTGGATTCATCCTGCTTTGGTTTAAGATGCAGGGCCTCTCCTGTTAATCTAATCAGAACGAGAATTAAAGGATCAGCCAGTGCTGACAGCAGAGTATTTAGATGAGGGGATCAAAAGAACAGAGACTGGCATCCATTATTTCTCCAACCATGGCAAGATGTTCTCTGATTACCCCTGACCAATTAGCACAGGAACAATGGGTTTTTCCCAAAGCCATACATAGTTTTCTTTATCTCACGAGACGTCTAAGCCTCTCCACTTTTGTAGACCATTTCTGCAAGAGAATCTATTGTTTTAATTCAGAACAGAAACTTTTAATACCTCTAGGTCCTGGTCAACCTGTCTACTTAGTTTGGAAAGCCTCAGAAGAGGCACCTTTAGTCAGACCATTAGTACATGTCCACCAAGTAGTCTCAGAGGCCCAGTAATATTCTTGTTATCCATATGAATTAACCCATGAGGCAGAGTAGCAGGCATCAGAATAACGGGAAGTGCCTAGGCTAAAAGTTTTGGATGTTAGGCAAGTTTAGCCTCTTATTAGTCCTCTAACATTCATTTGGGCTGCCCCCAGTCACAGTGAATTTTGTCGGCCAATGGAGTGATAGTCTGGTTAGTTAGTTCCTATCCCTTTGTAGTACAGGGGTGGGCTGTCAAAGCACAACCAGCGATCCTGGGTGACTTTGGGCTGGAAATGATCTACTCTGTCCCCCTGGTCCCCTTCTGTGGCATAGAGTCTGTTTTCCCAGATTTTTCCTGTTTCCCCAAGGCCAGAACCTTCTAAAGAAAATTTTCAGGACACCCCAGTTATTTTG